CCTGGGGCTCTCTCGGAGGGCTCTCTGAGGCACTCGGGTCCCTCGGAGGGGGCGGAGGGGGGGCCTCTCGGGGCTCCCTCTGGCCGCCTCGGGGCTCCCTCTCCGGTGCTGCTCGCGGGCCGTCGGGTGCCCTCGGAAGGCCGTCTCGGGGGGGCCATCTTGGGCTGTCTGGACCCTCTCGGGATCCCCGCCGTCGGCGGAGCTTTGTGGGGCCGTCTTGGGACCCTCCTGGGCCCGGTCCAGGAGGGCTGTCTCGAGGCCGTCTCGAGGCCGTGTTGGGCCATCTTGGGCTGTCTCGGGGCCCTCGAGGGGACCTTTTGGGCCGTCTTGGGGCCACCTCGGGGGCCTCTTGGGTCGCCTTGGGCTTTCGGAAGCCCGGAGGAGGCGAGAACGCGAAAACCATTGAACAGCTGTAGGAACATCGATGATTTTGGCCTCTTGGGGCCCTCCTTGGGGTCAGCCTGCAGCCCTCGTGCCCCTTGGGGCGTCTTGGAGGCCTCTGGTGCCGTCTGGAGGCCATCTTGGGTCTTCTTGGAGCCCTCCTGGTCCGCATTTGGGCCTCCTGGATCGTCCCAGGACCCCGTTGGGAGCCTCTTGCCCCGTCTTGGGGTTCTCTGGTCTGTGTAAGATCATGAGGGGCGCCCTGGGCGTCGCGCGGCGATCCCCGGAAATATCCGGTAGTTGGGGTTCGGGGCTTGAAAAAAGGACCAAGGCAGAAAACTCGAAACGACCCGAAGACTCTCCATTCAATGCCTACGATCAATGCGTTCGACACGGTGGCAGAATTGTCTGATAAGGTTAATGATGATCGGATCCGGCACCTGCGGAGGGCCATGCATAGCTACCTTTGCTCTTCTCAGCCGCAGGGCTGCTACCATACATTGCAGTTTGAGGTCGGTGAAGTATGCATGAGAATTCCATGTCCTCACCGCTGTGGCCCTCGACCAGGAGCCTGCTCTGGGTGTGGAAGTTCACTTTGTCATCGGCCACGATCCCAGAAGTGGGAAAGAGCGGGCCCAGGACTGCGGGCCACGCTCTGCTCGCGCGCGACTGCACTTGCGGGGTTCCGCGCAGAGAGGCTCGAGGGGGGAGCACATGGAGCTGCAGAAGGGAGACATGAGGGGGCTGGTTGGGGTGGGCGCGAACGCGTGAACTACCCAACGCATTCTAATCTAGCGCCTAGTTTCGTCGTCTCGGCGGTGCCACTGGTGTGCTTTCCGCGACTGCCAGGTTTCTTGATCTGTGAGTGTATGGCCTCTTTCATCTGCACGCTGCATGGCCGCTCGCCGGTATCTTCCACGTGCACGAGGCGTTTTTGCACCATTTTCTGCACGCGACTGCCTCATACAGTCCATCCACCTGCCACGCCGGGTGGAATTCTACTAAGCGTGCCCAGGCTTAGTGCTCGCGACGGTATCGCCACCTCGCCGCGGAGGAGAAAGTGTGTGATTTTGTGTTGACCGTGCGTGGTTGACATTTTTGGTACCCGCGGTGCTTGCAGTGGAATGGTACGTTTACGCTCGCTCGTGTCATACTGGTCTGGTTTGATGCGTCTCTTGGGCAACGCTACCTCGCCGTGCTTCTGGTGGGCTCCACATTTGCTGGTTCTTTGATTCGAAGTGCGTTTTAAGAGCACGCGATCGCATATCAACAACATCAGACTCAAGCCTCAACCCTCCTGCGTCGTTGATGCATCCAGTAGTTGAGTAGGACGTTCGGCGGTAGGCTAAAATGCGAAGCCTCCGGTTCTGTCGTGTCTCAAGGCTGCATATCTAGCAGCGTTCCTGGTACACCAGGTCATTGAAGTGTCACGCCATATCAACACGCGTTCGTATATTATGCGCGCACTTACGCAACCGTCGCGGGTGCACGCGCGCATATCGCGTAAACGCGTCGCACGGCTGGCAAAACGAATGTCACACGACATGTGTCACAACTTTCAGTCATCTAGCGTGCAGTTCGGCAGAGAGCACGTACCGCAGGGAGCCGATTAACAACGCAGAAAAGAAGCACCAGCGAAGGAACTATTCGTATATCACGCTATCCGACGTGATGACCTCGGCACTATGCAACATAACCAATGGTGCATGCATCGTGTGGCTTAGGAACCCACACATCATGACATTCAATATGTGATGCTTCTGCTGTCAACGTATGTAGTTCTGGCAACCAATTATCGATTTCCTTTGTCGGCAACTATATATATCCTTGTCCGCCCCCCAAAAGTGGCATTCCGCCCCCAGAACCCTGAATGCGGGTATCCCATGAAAACCATTAAACAATCAGACAAAACCCCGCTTGGATTCCAATTTGATTCTTGCACGAGTCCTCAAGGAGGCCGGAGGATGTCTGATTATGTCAAATTGTTTCTTGAAGGATTCTTGAGGGTCCCTTCAGGGTTCACAAATATTGTAGATCCTTTGAAGGATTCCCGAGATTTGGTTCTTGACGTTTCTGGGCGATTCCTGGGGATTCCTGAGGATGCTTGAGGACTTCCTGAAGATTCCTGAAGGTTGCTCACCGATTCCTTCAGGGTTATTGAAGATTTTTGAAGGTTCTTGAAGATTCCACGGGGATTCCTGTCGGGTCCCCTTCAAGTATGGCCCCCTAATTAGGTGCGGCGTCGCGGGCTGAAGTTGCGGCGCGGGCGCCAACCAGGAGTAGGCGGAAACAACGGACGAGGCCGAGGGCGAGGAGGAGGACCAAAGTGAACCCAGGATGCTTTGAAGACGTCGCACCCTCCCGTCCAAGCCCTGCCCCCCTCTTATGCAAAATGGGTGGCCGTCCGTCCGCGTGTCCTGTACAGAAGATGAGCTTCAGCTCGCGCTATATGGTTCTAATGACGAATTGTATAAAGCGGACACCACGTTTTGAAAGGGAAGCGACCTCCTCTCTTGTCTTATGACGTATTCGAAACAACTCTTGGTATTGTTGCTCACGCTACCCATTCTCTACTGCTCAGAAAAGGATGGGGCAGGAGGCACATTATGGAAGACGGGTGCTATATAACGCATGCGGTGTGGGCGGGGGCGTTCTTCCAGAGATCGGAGGGCCCCTCAAGACCGCCACAAAAACATGCTAGATTAAGAGTGATGCAAACATAACCTGCTCGGTGGGGCGCTGGGGTCGCACATGGGAAATCTCTTGTTGAATATTATATACAAGTTAGTCAGTTTAATCATATACTGTTGCTAGGACGAACTGTTTTCCTTTTCTGCCCAGAGGGGAGGGGGCGTGCCGATATTGGAATACAAGCGCAAAATAACGCAGGCGGGGCGGGGGGCGTTGTTCCTGGGACGAGTGTCCGTCAGGACCGCCAGGAATCCATGCGAGGTCAAGGGGTAGAGCACAAAAGTCGCATGGATGGAAGTTGGGCGTTGCGTTGGAATGTGATCAGGGATTCGGCGCTGAACTGGAGTCATTGGCGTTGCGCTGCCTGGATTCACACTGCCTTGCGTTTTTTGCGTTGCTTCGCCTTGCTTTGCACTGAGCTGCGTTGCTCGGCGTTGCTTAGCATCGCCTGGCGCTGCTGCGCATTTTTTTGTCGGTTATCGCAGCTGTGCGGATTCCTGCGGAGTCCTAAAGATCCTTCGGAGATTCGCAAGGATTCCTGCCTGTCAGTTCCTGAAGGTTTCCTCAATATTCTTGAACAAATCCTGAGGATTCCTGTGGGGCCCGTCTGGTTTTTCAGGTTTCTTGAGGACTCCTGTAGGATTCCTGAAGGACTCCCGAGGATTCATGCATGTGGTCTGCCGACTCTTGGAGGATCCGTTGGGGCTTGTTGTGGGGTCCCCAGGATTCCTCCAGGATTCCTGCAGGATTCGTGTGGGTTGTTTCCGATTTCCCCAAATCTGTAAATTGTTTTGAGGACTCCAGAAGAGTTCCTGAAAGATTTCCTGGGATTCTTGCGGGTCCCTGAAGGATTCTTCGATATTCCAGCAGGATTCCTGAAGGATCCCTGATGAGACTTGTTGATTCCTGCGAACTTGTTGCTCCCACCGCCCCCCCCTTTCTGCAGGACCGAAGTAATTCATTGGCGTGCTAACGATATCGCTCGGCGGTCCCCCCCCGAAAATTAATGCATGATTTTTGGTGCTGCGGGTAACGGGGGGCGGTCGATAATGGGTTCCCAAGGTTAATTGTCGCATTAAGTGTTCTTCTTGAGATGAGGTGCTCAGGGGATGCACGTGCGGCCAGTGTAAGGGCGGCATCTACGTGCAGGGTGTGTGGGGCAACTTGGGGTACGAGCAGGGGTCATTTGTGAAACTGTAAGTGCGGTGCCAAGGTAAATTCCCATTCGTCTTCCATGTAGACCACCACGCCAATGATTGTCGGAAGGACACGTTGACTCAGACACACGGAAGGGAAAACAACAGCAGCGTTGGTATCATCCTTAAGACGGTGAGTTTTTCATGTCATAGGTTGCTGCAGGAGGGACGAGAAAGAGAGAGAGAGAGAGAGAGATGGAGAAAGAGAGATTCAAGGAAGGGGGATCCTCTTCAGAAGCCTGCACCAAGCCCGACGGGTTTTCGATGCGAAGCCGATCGGGAGCGCGATAACTGCTCATGTGGAACAACCGAGCTCGAAGAAAGCGTCGTAGAGAGGCAGCCAGTGGCGCGAACGGCCAGCAGGGGAAGCCCGACAAGGGCCTGCACAGCGCTTGGAATGGCAGTCCGAGCCTGGAGGTGTGAAGCGAACAGGACGTGAGCGCATTGATGGATGCTGTGTGGAACTCTTACAGAAGGTGCATCACATAAGAAACCAGCCTGCCACAATGTTTTTTGGCCCCCGACGGCCCCGGTGACCCACAGAAGCACCGGAGCACCTTTGGGCCCCCAAAGGTGCGTTGTGTTTTCGCTCGGGTGTCCTGGTGTTGTCGCGTTCGTGCGTTGGCGTGCTTGCGTGCTTGCGTTGCCATTCTTTCCCCCGATTCCTCGACCGAGCCGAGCTCAGTTTGCTGCCTGCCGCGCGCCCGTGCTCCGGGCCTCTTCGGAGACGCGCCCGCTTGCCACTTGCCACTTGCCACTTGTACTGCCTTCTTCACCACTCTTCCGGACGGGGCCAGGACGAGGACACATGCGTTCCAGAGCGTTCCGGCACGCACTCGGAGCGTTCCAGAACGCTCTGAGAAGGCCGCGGCGCCCGAGACAGCCTCCAGAACCGCTGGATCTCCGAGCTTCCCGATTCACCCCCACCCGATCTTGCATCCGCAGACATGCGACGTCCTGATCTTTTCAATACGGGGTCCTTGGAAGTCCCGACCCGTTCCCCAGGACCAGTTTTCCATCCTGGGTCGTTTTTTGACGGTCCCGAGGCCCGGCGAGGTTCTCCCGAGGCCTAAATCGGCTAATCCTGATTCTTTCAACGACGCGATCAGGTCTGGGTCCTCGTCCTGGCTTCGTCCTCCTCTTCTCCGCTCGCGCTGCTGCCTCGGCCAGGCGCTGCTGGCTCGGCCTGGCGCGGGCACGCCCGCGGAAGGGCGAGCCCCCGGGCCGCCGTGCGCCGATGGGCCCCGCGCGCGGCCAGGGGGCCGCGGAGCCGCCGCTGGGGGAGCTCTACGAGCAGGGGAACGAACCATGACACAAACACAATAACTCGGAGGAGGAGGAGGAGGAGGAGGAGGAGGAGGCGGAGGAGGAGGAGGAGGAGGAGGAGGAGGAGGAGGATAATAACTCGGAGGTCCGCGCGGATTTCTCGGATCGGCGCTGGAGCCCTCTGGCGGCGCCTCAGGCGCCGCGCCTGGCGCGCTCCACGCGCCAGGGAGGGGGGTCCAGCGCGGATCCAAAAAATCCGCGCGAACCTCCGAGCTATTATCCTCCTCCACCCTCCTCCTCCTCCTCCTCCTCCTCCTCCTCCTCCTCCTCCTCCTCCCCCTGCTGCTTCCTCCTCCTCCTCCTCCTCCTCCTCCTCCTCCTCTCCTCCTCCTCCTCCTCCTCCTCCTCCTCCTCCTCCTCCTCCTCCTCCTCCTCCTCCTCCTCCCCATGTTTGTGCCATGTTTCGTTCCCCTAACGAGCGGGCCTGCCGGGCGCTGCGGTGCACCCCAGAGCCCCGGCTGGCAGAGGCGCTCGGGCGGGTGGTTCTTCGGAGGCCTCCTGGGAGGCTCTCGTCGCCACCTGGGAGGATCTCGTCGCCACCGCTCGCTTCGCCTCGAAATTCTGGTCAGGACGCACCCCAGGAGAGGTCCGGGGAGTAGGGGTATCGGTGCCTTTTGTGGTTTTCCCAGGGGATGGCCTAAATTCGGCGGCGAGCCCCGGGGGTGAAGCGAGAAAGGGCGGGCCTTCTCAGACGGCTCGAAAGGCCTTAGGCATTCCGAGAAGGTTTCTGAGCCTCCCCTGAAGACCCAGGACACTCCTCAGAAGGCGTGGGGGCTTCGGAGAAGTCCCGCCGCCTTCTGAGAAGGTCTTCGCCTTCTCACTTCCCCCCCTCGCTCGCCGCCGGGGCCCTGTAGGGCCCATTTTTGGGGAGCCAGCGGTGGCCCAAAGGGGCCTATAGGGCCCTTTTCTTCACCTCCCCTTGAGGTCACCTCCATTACCAACCGCCCGAGAGGCGCTGAGCAGCGCCGACCCGAGGGCTGCGCTCCTCGGTCTGGCCTCAGGCGCGGCGGTTGGCGGCGCCGCTGGGGCTGGCGGCGGCGGCGGCACCGCCTCGGCGCAGAATTCGGACCCCTTGCCAGAGCTCTGGACCACGAGAGGTCTGGACACCCAGAGGTCTGTACCCCGAGAGGTGGGCCCCCTGAGGTCACAGCGCGGACCCCCAGAGGTGAGCCCCCTGAGGCGGACCCCAGAGGTGGACCCCCACAAGCGGACCCCCAGAGGTGCACCCCCACAAGTGGATCCGCAGAGGTGGACACCATGAGGCCACCGCGTGGACCCTCACAGGTCTGGACCCTTCCCTGGGACTGGCTCTTCGTCCGCATCGGCAGGCATATCGACTCGAGCCTTTTTTTGCTGGTCCCGGGGCCAGTCCGTCGAAAGGAGATGGGACGACGACGACGACGACGACGACGACGACGACGACGACGACGACGACGACGACGACGACGACGACGACGACGACGACGACGACGACGACGACGACGGCGACGACGACGACGACGACGACGACGACGACGACGACGACGACGACGACGACGACGACGACGACGACGACGACCGACGACCGACGACCGACGACCGACGACGACGACGACGACGACGACGACGACGACGACGACGACGACGACGACGACGACGACGACGACGACGACGACGACGACGACGACGACGACGACGACGACGACGACGACGACGACGACGACGACGACGACGACGACGACGACGACGACGACGACGACGACGACGACGACGACGACGACGACGACGACGACGACGACGACGACGACGACGACCGACGACGACGACGACGACGACGACGACGGACGCCCCGCCAGGCGTCCCTGCGACTGGCCGCGCGGCCCCCGGCGGAGCGGCCGCGGCCGCGGGCGCGGAGCGCCGTGGGCCCGGCGGGCCCCGCGCGGAGGGCGCCGCGGGCGGGGGCCTCGAGGTCTGGCGGTGCCTCTGCGCCGTGGCCCGGCTCGCGCAGCACCCATGCGGCAGCGGGGCCGAGGCGTGGAGCCTCCTCCTCCTCCTGCTCCTGCTCCTCCTCCTCCCTCTCCTCCCCCTCCTCCCCCTCCTCCTCGTCCTCCTCCTCCTCCTCCTCCTCCTCCCTCCTCCTCCTCCTCCTCCTCCTCCTCCTCCTCCTCCTCCCCTCTCTCTCTCTCCCACTCCCGAGAGGGGCGGCGAGCCCCGCGGAGTCCACACGCAGGTCGACGCGCCACCGCGGCCGCGGCCGCGGGCCGCGATCCTCGTACCGCGCTGCTGCCGCTGCTCCTCATCCTCCTCCTCGTCACCTTCATCGTAACGCTGCTTCCGCTGGGTGGCCAGCTCCTCCCGAGGATGGAGGTTCGACGGCCGAGGGGCGAGGAGACTCTCTTGGACGAGCTTCCGCGTCTCGGGAGGCGCGCGGGCGGGCTCCGCGGGTCCTGGGGGCGTCGCTCTCCGCGGGAGGGGCGGCGAGGCCTCCTGGGCACCGCCTTTGGCAAGCCGGAACGGCACCCGCCCACAAGAAGGTCGGGTTGAGACAGCAAGCGCAAGAATCCGGCTTCAGCTGGCCTCCCGCTGGCTTCCGCCGGCGGAGGCGGCCTCGTTTTACGTCCGCTGGCTTCCGCCACCTTCCGCCGAAGAAGAGATGCCAACTCCCTCGGTCCTCGAAGGCGAGGTCCTTTCTGGAGCGCGCCTGGGAGGAAACACGGCGACGTGGTGGCATAATTAGGGCGAGCTGTGTCTTGCCTCATCGGGCGGTCCGAGGTTCCGCCCGACCAGTCGATCTGAGGGGCGATCGTTCACACTTCCCACCCGAGACCTTGGGCGTCTCAACAGACAGGGCGTGCAGTCTCTCTTGGGCTCAGGCCTTCGGGGCCCAGCAATCGCGGCGCAGCGGACTCGAGATCCGTGCGAAGGCCAGGGTCCGAAGTGCGCAGAGCCTCGCGCATCGAAAGAACCCCGGACGTCGCAGGTCTGGGTCTCCTCACTCTTCCTCCTCATCCCTCCCCTTCCTTTCTACCCTCCTCCTCCTGCTCGGCCTCCTCTTCGTCCGCGTTCTCCTCCTCCTCCTCCCCCTCCTCCTCCTCCTCCTCCTCCTCCTCCTCCTCCTCCTCCTCCTACCCATTAGAGGCCTTCGCGCGAAAGCGGATATTTCCGCTTTTGCCGACCGTGGGCCTGGGGCCGAATGCCACCTTCTCGATTTTGGAGCGGAGGTGCCGCCCACCCGCAGCGACGTGCACCTTGCAGCTCTCATGACGGGGGGCCAACCGCCCTCCTTGAGGCTGCGCAATCCGCCCGTGTCCTCCTCGTCCCCAACTGTCTGGCGCATCGACTTTTCCGATGAGCCGGCTCCAGAGCGCTCGACCACTTCCCCAGTCTGCACGAACGAAATGGGTACGGAATGAATGGGTACAATGCCCAACAGCAGTTCCTGTTCATTTTGAACAGGACTCGCTGTCCACGCCGCCACGGCCTGTGTCCATTCGAGACAGGAGGCCGCCTGCCCAACAGCGGCCGCTGTTGGTTTGGGGGAACATTTGTTGTTGGGCATTGCACCCATTCTTTCCGTTCCCATTCCGGGCGTCCAAACCCAGGGCCGTCTCGCCCGCCACCCTCCCCGCCTTTGGTGGCGCCCTCCTCTGCCCCTTGGAAGGCCGCGGCGGCTGGGCAGGGGCTCCCCGACGGGAGCCTCGGGGAGGCGGGCCTTTCTGTCCCCTCCGCCACCCCCTCGCTCTGTCGCGCGCTGTGCTGCGCAGGGCGGCCAACAACGTCCCCGGGGCCGTGCATTCCGAGGAGGAGGAGGAGGAGGAGGAGGAGGAGAGGAGGAGAGGAGAGGAGGAGAGGAGAGAGGGAGGGGAGGAGGGGAGGAGGAGGAGGATGAGGAGGGGGGGGGAGAAGGAGGAGGAGGAGGAGGAGGAGGAGGAAGAGGAGGAGGAGGGAGGAGGAGAGGAGGAGGAGGGGGAGGAGGAGGAGGAGGAGGGGGAGGAGGAGGAGGAGGAGGAGGAGGAGGAGGAGGAGGAGGAGGAGGAGGAGGAGGGCCGTTGCCCGACGGCCCCGAGGCCCGAGACCGGGCCTCCAGAGGCCCCCAAAGAGGCGGCCGACGGGCCGCGCGCCCCGTCGTCCTCCGACGTGGCTTTTTTGCGATCCTCCGCGGCCCCAGCGCTGCCGACCCGCCTTTTGCCCCGGGGGGCAGATTCGCCTCCCAGAGAAGCTCTGCTGGCCCGCGGGCCCCCGATCGCCCCCCAAGAGGCCGAAGCAAGGGGCTCTTGGTGGGTCCGCGGGCGCCCGAAGCTGAGAAGCCAGTCGAGCGGCGGGAGGGACACTGCGGAAGCGAATCGGGCGCGACAAGCGAGGGGAGCCCGCCGTGATCGAAAAAATCGTATCGCTGCAGGTCTGGGCTTTTTGTTACGACGTGGACCTCCAGAAGTCGGGACTCCTTCCCTGGGACGGGCTCTCTATCCCAGGATGTTTTTTTGATTGGTCTCGGGGCCCAGCGAGAGCCCCCAGAGGCCGAACGTTGCCAAAGGCCTCCGGTCGCTGTTCATCCGCGACGCGAGCAGGTCTGGATCCTCGCAGGTGGCGGCGGGCGTCCCAGGGCTCCAGGGAAGCTTTCGGATGGAAGCTTCGAACCCCCCAGGCTTTGGAGGCCGTGGGGGCCTCCTCGGACATCCTCGGGGAGCCTTTGGGCCAGGGGCGCTCCTTCGGGCGGCCTTCTTTTGGACGACCTCGGGGAACCCGATGCAGGCCGAAGGCGCGCGGGCCGGGCTGCGCCGCGCGCTCGACGCCGCCGCGGTGCGAGCGGCGGCCCGGCAGAGCGCGCGCCGGGCGCGGGGCCTGGCGCTGCCGGGTGGGGAGCTGCACCCTGCCGTGCGCAGGAAGCGACGACGACGACGACGGCGCCGACGACCACGGCGACGACGGCGACGGCGGCGAGGACGACGACGGCGGCGATGCCGACGGCGGCGGCGGCGACGTCGACGACGACGACCTTGGCGACGACGATATCGACGATGACGACGGCGGCGACGACGACGACGACCTTGGCGACGACGATAACGACGATGACGACGGCGGCGACGACGACGACGACGGCGGCGGCGGCGATGCCGACGGCGGTGGCGGCGACGTCGACGACGACGGCGACGACCTTGGCGACGACGATAACGACGATGACGACGGCGGCGACGACGACGACGACCTTGGCGACGACGATGACGACGATGACGACGGCGGCGACGACGACGACGGCGACGACGACGACGACGACGACGGCGCCGACGATCGCGACGGCGACGACGACGATGACGACGATGGCGACGACTGACGGCGCCGGCGCCGACGTCGACGCCGACGGTGGCGGCGGCGACGATGACGGCGGCCACAGTGACGAGCACGGCGGCGACGACGACGGCGACGACCACGATGACGGCGGCGACGGCGACGACGACGGCGGCGACGATGATGACGACGACGGCGACGACGAGGACGTCGAAAACGACGGCGACGGCGGCGACGACGATGACGACAACGATGATGACGACGACGCCGATGACGGCGACGACGACGTTGGCAGCGGCGGCGACAAGTACCGCGGCGACGCCGGCGACGACGACGATGTCGATCACGGGGGTGACGGCGACCACGACGATGACGACGACGATGACGACGACGATGGTGTTGGCGGCAGCGGTGAATACGGTGGCGACGCCGATTCCGATGGCGGCGACGGCAATGACGACAACGGCGACGGCGACGACGACGGCGGCGGCGCCGACGGCGACGACGACGACGATGACGATGGCGACGACGACGGCGACGGCGGTGACGACGACGACGACGACCTTGGCGACGACGACGACGACGACGACGACGGCGGCGACGACGACGACGACAACGATGGCGACGACGACGACGGCGCCGACGATCACTTCGACGACTTTGACGACGACGACGACGACGATGGCGACGACGCTGGCAACGACGACGATGACGATGATAAAGGCGGCGGCGATGACGACGGCGGCGACGTCGACGACAACGGCGACGACGACGACGACGATGGCGGTGACGGCGACGACTGACGGTGACGGCGCCGACGCCGACGCCGACGGTGGCACGACGGCGACAGCGACGACGACGATAGCGACTTTAGCGACAACGACGACGATGACGGCGATGACGACGGCGACGACGACGACAACAGCTACGACGAACACGACATCGACGGCGGCGACGACGACGACGACAACGATGACGGCGACGGCGACGGCGATGGCGACGACGCCGACGACGACGGCGGCGGCGACTGCGACGACGAGGGCGACGACGACGCCGACAACAACGACGACGGTGGTGGTGGCGGTGACGACGACGGCGACGGTGGCGACGAGGACGGCGACGTTGACGATGGCGATGACGACAACGAGCGCAACGGCGACGACGACGCGGACGGCGGCGGTGGCGGTGATGACGACAACGATTACGACGACGATGGCGGCGAGGGTCAAGACGATGGTGACATCGGCGACGACGATGTCGACGACGACGACGACGAGGACGGCGGCGGCGACGATCACGGCGACGGCCACGTCGTCGACGACAGCGACGACGACGACGACGACGACATCGACGACGACGGCCGCGACGACGACGACGATGGCGGCGGCGACGACGACGACGCCGACGACGACGGCGGCGGCGGCGCCGACCGCGACGGTGACGGCAATGCCGATGCCGATGGCGGCTCCGACGACGACGACGACGAGACGACGACGATGGCAATTCGACGCCGACGCCGACGGTGGTGGCGGCCGCGACGACAACGACGATAACGACGATGGCTAAGGCGGCGACGACGACGGCGACCACGACGACGGCGACGGCGACGACGCTGACGACGACGACGTCGACGGTGACGACGACGACGAGAAGGACGGCCACATCGACCACGACGGCGGCCACGACGACGACGACAATTGCGACGAAGTCGGCGACGGCTGCAGCGACGACGGCGACGACGATGATGACGACGACGAGGACGGCGACGACGACGACGACCACGATGAGGAGGACGGTGACATCGACGACGACGACGACGACAACGGTGGTGACGGCGACGACGACGACGTTGGAGGCGACGACGGTGACGGCGATGACGACGGCGACGGCGGCGACGATGACGATGGCGGCGGTGGGGGCGACGGTGACGATGACGACGGCGGCGACGGCGGTGGCGCCGACGACGGCGGCGGCGACGACGAGGACCATAGCGGCAAGGTCGACGGCGATGTCGGTGGCGACGACGACGGCGACGACGACGGCGACGACGATGACGACGACGGCGACGGCGGCGACGACGGCGACGCCGGCGACGACGGCGACGACGACGACGACGGCGACGACGACGGTGGCTGCGCCGACGACGACGGCAACGACGACGACGACAACGATGAGAACGGCGACGGCGACGTCAGCGACGATGGCGTCGAAGGTGGCGACGACGACGTCGGCGGCGACGACGACGACGCCGACCGACGACGGGGACCACGACGACGGCGGCGACGACGCTGTCGACGACGACGGCGACGACGGCGATAACGACGGCGACAACCATGAACGCGAAGCCGATGCCGACGACAGCGGCGCCAGCGACGACGACGGCAACGACGATGCGGACAACGATGACGACGACGACGATGTTGGCAACGACGAGGACGGCGACGACAATGACGCCGACGACGACGGTGACGACGGCGACGACGACGACGACGGTGACTACGACGCCGACGACGGCGGCGCCGGCGACGACGAAGACGGGAACCACGACGACGGCGGGGACGGCGACTGCGGCTACGATGACGGCGACGACGGCAACGACGACGACGACGACGACCGTGACGCCGACGACCACGACGAGGGCGACGACGGCAACGACGACGACTGTGACGACGGTGACGCCAACGACTACGACGACGGCGACGACGGCGACGACGACGACGACTGTGACGACGATGGCGACAAAGGTGGCGCCAGCGACGACGAAGATGGTGACAACGACGACGGCGGGGACGGCGACGACCTTTATGACGACGGCGACGACGGCGACGACGACGACGACGGCGACGACGGCAACGACGACGACGACCACGATGGCGACGACGACGACGTTGGTGACGGCGGCGATGGCGGCGACGACGGCGACGACGACGGCGAGGACGACGACATCGACGACGACGACGTCCACGACGTCGAGGATCACGACGATTTTTTCGCTGACGACGACGAGGACGACGACGACGGCGACCACGACGACGGCGACGGCGACGACGATGGCGGCGACGACGACGGCGACGACGATGACGACGACGACGACGACGTTGACGACGACGGCGGTGATGATGACGACGACCACGGGCACAACGACGAAGGCGGCGATGACGACGACAAAAACGACGACGACGGCGACGAGGACGGCGAGGACGACGGTAACGACGACGACGACGACGGCGACGACGATGGCGATGACGGCGACGACGACGACCACGGCGATGACGACGACGATGACGACGGCGCCATGGACGACGGCGACGACGACGACAACGACGACGACAACGACGGTGACGACCACGACGGTGGCCCCGCCGACGGCGGCGGCGCTGGCGACGACGACGACGACGACCACGCCGGCGATGGCGGGGACGACGGCAACGACGACGACGGCGACGGTGACGACATCGACGACAGTGTCGGTGACGACGACGACGACGACTACTACGACGACCGTGGGGACGACGGGCGACGACGACGACGGCTGGAACGAAGACGACGAGGTTGACGATGATCACGACGACGACGACGACGACGGCGACGTCGAGGACGACGACGACGACGGTGACGACGACGACGACGATGACGACGTCTTCGACGACGACAACTGCAACGTCGGCGGGACCCCCTGGAGTCATGACAAAAGTTTCGACGGAAGATTCATCGCTATTTTCGGTTCCTGGGGGCCCTCGCTGGGCCCCGGGACCGTCAGAGAACAATTCGCGATGAAATAGCGGCCCTTGGGAAAGGGTCGGGACTTCCAGGGACCCTGTATTGAAGAATTCAGGACATTGCATGTTTGGGCGGGGACCATGGCCAAGATGTCGCGGGATCTTATCGATGCCGACCTCAGTCATGGTTTATGTCGGCCGTCGCCGATTCGCGGCGGCGATCCACGATTCGACCCTGACCAAGATCGGCGATGAACAAGAGCGACACGACGTTTCCGCACTCGATCTTGGTCATGGTTCCATTGTTCTCCCCCTCCAAGAGAGACCCCCTCGAGTCATAATTCGCCACGTCGTTTTTTCAGCCTCCGGGGCCTCGGGACCGTCAAAAAACGACTCGGGAGAACGAACTAGTCCCTGGGAAGTGGTTGAGAGGTCGGGGGCCCGTGCCTTGAGAAAATCGAGACGCCAGATGTCTAGATAAGCGTGGCTGAAGGCGATGCGAGAGCAGTTGCCTGGGCGCTCGGGTTTGGCCCCCTCGCGCCCCCAGAAAACCGCCCACCAAAGGTCGCTCTTGCCTGGGGTCGCTCTTGCGCGTGGCCGAAGGAAGCTGGCGGACCCTGGCGCGGCGCTGACGCTGGAGGACTGGCCGAGTGAGGTCTGGGACCAGGCCCAGACACGCCCGCGCCTGAAAAACAATAATCTCTCCGAGATCCTGGCGGTGCACCTTTTATGCACATCGGGCGCCTTCGCCCAGCTTTTCGGGCCCCAGGGCCCTCATAGATCGATCCGACATGTCCTTTTTCGATGCTTCATTTTTTGCCGCGGATGTCGTCATTTTCGTTCATTGCTTGATCTTTTTTTTGGCGTCGACCATGATTGTTTGTTCGAGGTTTTGTTTTAACGCGGTCGGATCTCAGCGGTGCTCGCGCCGGAACCACATCTGGACCCCGCGGGTCTTGTTGGCCGACTGTGCGCCCTAAGGCCGTCACGCTCCGGGCCAAAGGGCACCGTCAACAAACAAACAACTGTTCGCGAGGAAGAGAAGAGGCCTCGGAGAAGGGGCCGGGACCTCCTCCAGGGGCCGCGTGTTGGAACAAACATCGGGGCGTCGCATTTTTTTGGGGGGGGAGGGAGGAAGAGGAGGAGGAGGAGGAGGAGGAGGAGGAAGAGGAGGAGGAGGAGGAGGAGGAGGAGGAGGAGGAGGAGGAGGAGGAGGAGGAGGAGGAGCTGGGCCGCCGCTGAACTGACGGTCGGCCACGAGAGGAGTCGCGGTCGTGCCTGGTGAGCTGCGTGGAGCACGGCCGCGCGCAGGCGAGGCGCGCGGCCGGCAAGAGGGTCGTGGTGGTCGTCGGCAACACGGGCGCCGGCAAATCCGCCTTCGTAAACTTCTTGCACGGCTGCGCGTTCGAGCTCGACTCCGCGGAGATCAGAAGAGGGAGAGATATACCGATGCCGATACCGCTGCTCATCCTGGGGAGAGCTCTCGTCGCCACAGCTGGATTCTCGTCAGGACGCACCCCAGGAGAGGTCCGTGGAGTGGCAGTGTTGGTACTGGTGTTGGTGCTCCCCCAGGAGAGGGTGGTGGTGCGGGCAGACTCGGCAGCGAAGGAGCTGATGAAGATCGGCCACTCGAACAAGTCGGAGACCTTCGAGCCTCAGGTGGAGCTGGCCGCCGAGAGCTTTGGCCCCGACTATGCATTTGCCGACTGCCCTGGATTCCTCGACAACCGCGGTTTTGAGATAAACGTCGCCAACGCCGTGAACGTGAAGCGGACTCTTGTCTCCGCGGCCAGTGCAGTCGTCGTTGTGATCATCAATTACCACTCCCTCCTGTCAGACCGTGGTAAGGGCGTGAGGGACTTGTTTCACATCTTGAGCGGACTGTTCGGCAGCGCCGAGAACGTGAGGAAGCACTCCAGATCCGTCCTGCTGGCAATCAGCAAGGCGCCCAAGGCAAACCCGGAGACCGGCAGCGCCATGAGCCTGGAGCGGCTGCGCGACAGGCTGATGGACCCGACCGGGCTGGACGCGGTGGCCAGGGAGCTGTTGGGTGCGATCGGCGGTGCCAACGTTCTGGCCTACCACCTGCTGGGTCGCGGCGACGCCTCGTGGCCGGGGCGCGAGGAGATCATTGCTCGCGTCCAGTCGCTGGAGGCCCTGTCGACACCGGCCACCCTGTTCCAGTCGGCGATCTGCCAGGAGGACAGGGAGAGCCTGCGGTGCCTGGTGGCGAGCCTGGCCAGAGGCGTGGAGGCCACCATCGGAGCCGCCGAGTGCCAGGCGGCCGCCGACGCCGTGGCGGACCTGCTGGAGCTGAAGGTGGTCGAGCACGGCTTCGTCGCGGGGATCGTCGACGAGGCGGTCCGGTCGGCCGTTGACGCCCGGATGCTGGCCCTGAGGGCAGTCCTCGCCGGTCGGCAGGGCACTGGGGCCGATGCCGGGGGCGCGGCAGAAGCCGAGGCGGGGACTTCTGCCCGGCACCGCCGCCCAGGGCCTCGGCCTTGGGGATACCCCCCCAGCAGGCGGCGAGCCTGTGGATGTCTACAGGGTCGGGCCCTCCGGGGCCAGAGCAGACATCCCAGAGCCGCCGCTCGCTGGGGTCCCGGCACGTCGGTTCCCCAGGCGGCGGGTGTGGACCCAGGCATCCGGCGCTCCAAGGGTGTCGGTGCGTCGGCCCCTGGAGGTCTGGACGACTTCCTTCCAGGGCCAGGTTGTCGTCCCGTGTCGCTTTTTGCCGGCCCCGGGGCCCGTGGTGGAGGGCCCCCGAGAATGAAAATAGTTCCAAACTGGCCCGCTCCGATTTCTTCGGGGCCTCGGAGCTCTGTGGGTAGAGCTAATGGCCTTCGGCCCACCCCGCCACCGTGCTTGGGTTGTGGGTACACAGCCTAATTGGATGTTTGTTGGGGTCTCGTGGGGGGCCTCATCGAGGGCCTCTTGGAGGCAGCTTGGAGGCCCCTCGTGGGGCCCTTTGGGGTCCTCTTTTGGGCCCTCTTTTGGGGGGGCCTCTTGGGGGGCCTCTTGGAGCCTCGGATCTCCGGGGGCAGATCTTCGCCTCGCACGGAGCCGCCTGCCGACGCGCAGCAGTTCGAGGAGGCGCGCCAGGAGCTCCGCGAGGCCGGCGCGCTCCTGGCGGCCCTGGCGGACGTCGCGGAGGCCCGGGGCCCGCTGGAGGGGATGCTGGTCGAGGCCGCCTGCCAGCTCGAGAGCGCCGTGAGGGCCGCGGCAGAGCTCGCGGGGAGGGAGCAGGCTCGGGGGGCGCCAAGCGACCCCCGCTCGGCTGCACGCGGGAGGGGCCGCTCGTCGGAGGAGTGAGCAAAGGAGATACGAAGGAAGGTTTTTTCGCTGTTTTCGGCCTCGGGGGGCCCTCGGCGGGCCCCGGGAGCGTCATCAGACGACTCGGGAAGGGAGAGCTGGTCCTGGGGAAGGGGTCGAGACCTTCGGGGTCGACGTTATGACATGATCATAACTTGGGGGGGGTCTGGGGTAGGAGTGGCCCTTCACCAGAGCGGCCTTTGGTGCGGGCCCAGTGGGGCCCCGTTGGCTGAATGTGATGCGATAGCAGCGGCTGGCGCGCTCGGGTTTGGCCTCCCCGCACCCCCCGAAAGCCGCGCAGCCCGGATGTGGGCTGGCAGAAGGGGGGGATTGGCCAGGGGCAGCTAGCAACCCCCGACACCTCGGGCTGGGCACCTTCGGCAGCCTGGGGAGGGCCAGTCCAGGGCCAAGGGTCGGTGCATAAAGCGTTCCCGGCCAAGCCGGGATGCGGGCTGGCAGAAGGGGGGGATTGGGAAAGGGAGGGTGTAACCGTGGACTTCAATTATCGACCCCACCTTTCGGCGAAATTAGATCGCTTCCCGCCCATATACCACCTCCAGACCCCTCAGTGCGGGATCCCACCAAGATCATAGTATGGCGGAAGCTGCTCTGCATGCAGCCGGTTTCGGCGGCCTGGAGGCCAGCATCGTGAGCTTATTCGCCAGACCCCCCAGTTTGCTTACCCCCCTTCTCGTCCCGCTCTCTTCCCTCCTCCCTCTCGTCTTATCGTCCTCCCTGTCCTCCTCCCCCTCTCCTCCCCCTCTCGCCCTCCTCTCGTCTCCCTCCTCCCTCTCGTCCTCTTGTCCCCCTCAATGCTCCCCCTCGGCACTTCCCCTCGAAGCTCGCCCTCGAGACTCCCCCTCCCCAGACCCCCGACGTCGTGATTTTTCCCCATATCCTAAGATGGGGTTATTGTTATTACTTGGACGCCTCCTACTCCTCCCTCTTCTTCTCCTCCTCATCCTCCTCCTCATACCTAGACTTACTCATACACAGACTTACTCATACACAGACTTACTCATACCCAGACCTGATGATATTAACTTGCTCATACTCGGACCTACTCATAATACTCAGACCTACTCATACTCAGACTTACTCATGCTGAGACTCACTCATACCCAGACTTACTCATACTCAGACCTTCTCATTGTCTGACTTACTCAACACACACAGCAGATTGTGAGGATGTCTCAGGCGGGGCGTTGTTTTCAGCACCCCTAAGGGGAGCCGCCGAGGGGTATTGCACGGTCCCGTTGGCGTCCGTTCTGTGGGGATGTCTCAAGCGGTTTGCTTGTTTTCCGTACCAGCATCCTTCGCTTGGAGAGCAGATTACGAGGATGTCTCAGTCGGGGCGCTGGTTTCAGCACCCCTAAGGGGAGCCGCCGAGGGGTATTGCACGGTCCCGTTCGCGGCCGTTTTGTGGGGATGTCCCAAGCGGTTTTCTTGTTTTTTGTCTCAACATCCTTCGCTTGGAGAGCAGATGGTGAGGATGTCTCAGGCGGGGCGCTGGTTTCAGCACCCCTAAGGGGAGCCGCCAAGGGTGCTTTCACGGCTCCGTTCGTTGCCGTTCTGTGGGGATGTCTCAAGCGGTTTGCTTATGCTCAGTCTCAACACCCTTCGTTTTGAGAGCAGATGGTGAGGATGTCTTGGGCGGGGCGCTGGTTTCAGCATCCCTAAGGGGAGCCGCCGAGGGGTATTGCACGGTCCCGTTCGCGGCCGTTTTGCGGGGATGCCTCAAGCGGTTTTCTTGTTTTCTGTCTCAACATCCTTCGCTTGGAGAGCAGACTGTGAGGATGTCTCAGGCGGGGCGCTGGTTTCAGCACCCCTAAGGGGAGCCGCCAAGAGTGCTTTCACGGCTCCGTTCGTCGCCGTTCTGTGGGGATGTCTCAAGCGGTTTGCCTATATTCAGTCTCAACATCCTTCGCTTTGAGAGCAGATGGTGAGGATGTCTCAGGCGGTGCGCTGGTTTCAGCTACCTAACGAGAGCTGCCAAGGGTGCTTTCACGGCTCCGTTCGTCGCCGTTCTGTGGGGATGTCTCTAGCGGTTTGCCTGTTTTCTGCTTTTGCGTTGTGTCCTGAGTTGCTCTCCCCGTAGCGTACGGCGGTCAAGGAGGAGTGACCAGGTGTTGCTGGCGCAGAGCTTGTGTCCCTACAGTATGAAATGCGCATATGGCTCACATGGCTAGACGCTGATTTAAATATCCCCCATACAATATTACCTTCTTAAAAAGGATGCGCATATGGGGAGCTCCACACAGTGAGTATTGTCACACCTTGGACCCCCAGAGATCTGGAACCCTTCCCGGGACCGGTTTTTCATCCTAAGTCGTTTTCTGACGGTCCCGAGGCCCGGGAAGGGCTTCCGGAGGTCGAAAATAGCCAAAAACTTCCCGTCGTGAGATTTTCGGAGCTCGAGGAGGACTGGGTCCTCGTCCTCTTCTCCCGCCCGGCCCGGCAGGTGGAGGCGTCGCTGCGGGAGGCGCTGCGCGCGCTTCAGGGCAACGCCGTGCGGGAGGTGCTGGAGCTGCCTCGGGCGGCGGAGGCCATGCGGGCGCAGCTGGAGCGAGACCTCGCTGGGCTGCGGCGGGGAGCACCGGCGGAGCAGGAACGGGCAGTGAGGGGGCTGTTTTCCACCTCCTCTTCCTGCTCCTCCTCCTCCTCCTCCTCCTCCTCCTCCTCCTCCTCCTCCTCATTCCCCCCTCCAATTTGTGGTGGTGGTGGTGGTGGTGGTGGAAAACGGGCCCATCAGGCAGGGACGCCGTACGACGCCGAGGCCGCAGCCGAGCGGCATGCGGCGAGGCTTCGCCGCGAAGCGGTGGGGTCTCGGAGGGAGGCGGGTCATGGAGGTATTTTTGGCAACTCCTTCGGGCTCCCAGGGCCCTCCACGGGCCCCGGGGTCGCCCCTCTGTCTCCTCCTCCTCCTCCTCCTCCTCCTCCTCCTCCTGCTCCTCCTCTCCTCCTCCTGCTCCTGCTCCTGCTCCTGCTCCTGCTCCTGCTCCTGCTCCTGCTCTCCTCCTCCTCCTCCTCCTCCTCCTCCTCCTCCTCCTCCTCCTCCTCTCCCACTGTGGGCGGCGCGCAAAAGTGGCCCTTCGCTGGAGCGCACTTATGGTGCGGGTCAGCAGTTCGGGGGTCCTCCCCGCCGTGTCTTCCGCGCGGAGGTTGGGCCCCAGAGCGCGGCCGCCAGGAGCCGCGCACCAAGGAGGTCCCTTCTGCCCAGGGGTCGCCCCTGTCCGTGCAGGCGGTGACAAGGGTGCTTCGCGATGCAGAAGCCGGTCCCGGGGGGAGTCTTTTCTGCGCTTTTCGGGTGGTCGTTGCTTCCCCCTCGGCCTCGTCTTCCTCCTCTCCCTCGTTCCCTCGTCGCCCTCCAGGAAGGCAGCAAAAAGACAGGAGGCCGTCGTAGTGCACACGGCGGGGGAAGAAGAACACCACAAAACAACAAGAAGCTGGTCCCAGGGCCCCGGGGCCCAGAGCCCGTGTCCCTCTGGGCCCGCTCTCCCTCCTCGCCGAGAGGCTCGCCGAGGAGGAGTACCGCGCGAGGGCGGCGGGGGGGGCGTGGGAGGCGCACGTCGCGCTCGCCGGCGAGAAGCTGCGGGCGAGGGACCGCGCCCTCCTGGCCGAAGAGGGGGGCGGGTTCTGGGCCAAGACGGGCTGGTCCAGCGAGCGGCTGTGCTCGGAATGCGGGGCGGCCCCGGTGAACTGGGCGTGCAAGGGGCTCACGGACACCGACTGCGACGTCATGAGCGCGATCTTCCGCTCCCTGTCGGGCCCGCCCAACCTCCGGACCCTATTCCTCAGCTGTGGGGAGCCTCAAAGCGAGTCTCTGCCCTGCTGCCCCTTCGAAGAAATTGGGGAGGAGGGGAGGAAGAGGGGAGGAGGATGCGGGGGGAGGGGCCTGGTCTCGTGACCGTCAACCGTCTGACGTGCCAAGGGTGGCCCAGGAACAGCCCCACCCCCCCAAGCCTACGACGTCGCCATGAGTCACCCGATCTCGCTCGATCTGTCGCCTGTGGAGACCCCGATTGGCCGTTTCTGGGGGCCCCAGGGCTCCGAAGGGCGTCGAAAGCGTCCAGGAGTCTGGGGGACAGGAGCTTGCCCGGGGGCGTCAACTGACCACCTCGTCGATCCTGGTCGGGCCCATCCTGCTCGTGGGCCCAGCATCGGTGTCTGCTCCCCGGCCAAGCCCTGCGCCTGCCTGGCCATGCTCTGCGGGCGTCTGCGCCGACCCTGGGCCCGGGGCGGGCCTGGCTGGGATCGGCCTGGGGCGGTCAGCTGCCGCCTCCCGAGGCACGGGGGCCGATGCGCAGTCGCTCCCTCTGCGGCTCTCCACCGGCACCAATGCCGTGGGGGACGCGGGACTTGCTGCACTCGCAGACGCGACTGCCCTCGGCGCGCTGCCACACCTGGAGAGGCTGTACATCAACAACAACCGATTCGGCGACCCCGGCATGGGCGACCTGTGCGCGGCCATCGGCGCGCACCGCCTGCCGAACCTGACGTTCCTCGACTGCAACAGCAACCAGATCGGCGACGCTGGCGCCTCCGCGCTCGCAGACGCGGTGATCGGAGGGGGGTTTCCTCCTCCCTCCTCCTCCTCCTCCTCCTCCTCC